GGTAAACTGGCAGCCAAATGGGAGGGACCTTACGTTGTGAAAGCCCGACCACATCCGGGCACCTACCGACTTCAGGACATGGAAGGTCGAGACCTCCTCTACCCCTGGAACGCTGAACACTTGAAGCGCTACTTTCAATAAGTTCCTACTGTTGTATTGCTCAGTTATTGTATTTTCTTTTTGATGCATAATGTAAACTTTGATCGACTGGACTACACTGTCTAGGACAACAATTCTATATCTTAGCTATCTGTGTGTTATCTCAATAACATTCTCATTTGCAGCACTTATTAACAGCCTCAGCCAGACTGAGCATTAAAAGCCTCAGCCAGACTGAGCACTAAAAGCCTCAGCCAGACTGAGCACTAAAAGTCTCATCCAGACTGAGCATGAAGCACTCGGCCAGACCAAGCCTCAGCTAGCCTAAGCATAACAAGTCTCAGCCAAACCGAGCGCCACAATTTCAGGTTCAGACTGAGTTACTTACAACGTCAGTGAATCATAGCTTAGCCCCAACTGAGCACGAGTGCAGGGCTCGGTCAAGGCCATCCATGCAAACTTCATGCTTGTGGAATTAGTGGACACACTTAGTCACAATTCCATGTCCAAGTCTTTACACCTCTCTTTGCTTAGTCAAATTAGTGTAACCAACACAAACTTTACATTTTAAATTTCACTCTGCATTGAGGAGTTCCTAACTTTACTCTGCATTGAGTTTTTATTACAACTCCAATCCCACTCCGTCTTGAGGAATTCCTGAATTCAGTTTTTATTACAAGTTTAATGCCACTTTGCACTTCACAATGATTCCTGCACAAGCTCCACACACAAGCCACCATTCTCATCCATTTCAGATGCACAAGCAAAAACAATCAAATGCAAAACACAACCGAAATTTATTTATTCACAACTTTGTACATAAGTTCATTACAGCAATTCAAAAAAACAAAAAAACAAAAAACAACACAAAACAAAAACAATTCACTCATTCCTCCTCACTGGAGACGAGGTCTTCTTCTTCCATACCCTCATCCAGGGGGGTTTGGGCCACATTGTCTTCACCAATTGTTACACTACTGAGGTCTAAGTCTGGGAACAGTTCTTCAGCTCTACGTTTGAATATCTTCCAGCCACTGTCCCAGAACTCAGCCATTTCGTTTTTGTAGAAGTCTGACTGCTGGAAGCTCTCAATAACTTCGACTTCAGTTCTACCCCCAGCGGTCGCCTTCAACGGGCCCGCCCCTCCAGACTCCTCCCTCGCCAAGCTGCTGGCGACCGCGGCATCCACTACCATCTGAAATTCAGCAGACCCCTTGAACTGATCCACTGCTGCAACATACAGATCGGGGTAAGCCGCCCTTTTAGAGGCTGTCTTCGCCCTCTCTTCGTCCAGATCCTTCTTCAGGGTCGCCCTTTTAGAGGCTGCCTTAGCCATCTCTTCCTCCAACTCCTTCTTCAGGGTCTCCCTTTCAGCAGTTGCCTTGGCCTTCTTTGCCTCCAACTCCTCCTTCAGGGTCTCCCTTTCAGTAGTCGCCTTGGCTCTCTCTGCCTCCAACTCTTTCTGAAGGCTCTCCCTCTCCTCCACTGCCTTGCACGCTCGCTCCCCAGCTCCTTCTGCAAATCGTTAATCTTCACGTCTGCTTCATCCTTCTGTCTGACCAGCTCTTCATTACTGGACATCGCCTCTTCATGTTGTTCGAGCACGACCGCGTAGGCTTTTGGGCCTTCTCCAGCTTCCTCTGCTCGCCAGCCAGCTGGAACTCGAGCGACACATCCTGGCGGCGTTCGTTCTCCAGCTCCAACTTGACCGCTTGCAGCTCGGCATGGGTCCTTTCCCAGTTTACACTCTCCTTCTTTAACCTTGCAAGTTGAGCCTTGGCCTCATCTGCCTTGAGTTTTGCAGCCCCCGCCTTCTTCAGCAGAGCCCCTGCTAAGGTGGTTACCTCCATTTGAGCGGAGCATAACCCCCTCAGCAGTTCAGCCTCATTGAATCTGGCTACTGAGCGCAAGGCTGCCTCTTCTACAATCCCCATAAGGCGGTCTACCCCTGCCCTGGCTGGGCCTTCTTCTCCCTCCAGCCGCCCAGCCACTGCACGAGCGTGGTAGATCGCAGTAGTCAGACTGACTCCCCCTCCTTGGGGTGCAGGACCCCCCTAGGGCTGTTCTCCCCTCCTTGGCTCAGGGCCAGTTACTCCACCTTCTACTTGCACTTCGGGGGCGGCCCTCGCTACCTCTGTGGCAATCCCCACCACTACTGGGATGACCTCCATCCCCTCTGACGCGATGTCCACCACTTCTGGGACGACCACCCTTCCTGGGGTCTTCTCCACTGCCCCCCTCTTTGCCTCCTTGGCCCCACTGGTCTCTTCTGCCCTCACTTCCCTCCTTCTCTTCAAGGCAGGCTCTTCTTCACTTCTCCTCACTCTCCTCTTCTTCTTCACTACGCCCCCCACCTCCATCTCCTTCAAAGCCCTCTCATTCAAGGGATCTGTTGGGGGCAGTCGTGGCACAAATCCACTTAAGTCTTTTTCTCCCAAGGGTTTGGGGCGAGGTCGGATCCTCTCCCTCGCAACCGGCTTTAGCGGTCGGTCTGCCTGCGACTCTTTGAATTTTTGGGCTTTGGCCAAGATGGCCTGGTCCTCCGCCTCTTGAGCCTTCCTCCTTACCTCCAACTCCGTTCGGTCGAGGTCCCCACCACTCGACTGTGGACCCAACCCTGCCTCAAACAAAGCCGACGGCTGAACGAGCTCGTCCCAGCTGGCCCCTTCCTTCTCCCTCCATTCCTTTACCCTCTTCACCCTCTCCTCTGCTACTGCTCCCAGCTTTGGCTCCACAGACTTGGTGGGCACTTTCCAAATGGTACGCACTCCAACCCCTCCACTGGTAGACACATAGAACCACCGTGGTCTCCACCCCTTGATCAACGACGGCAGCCCCGCCACCAGCCCTTTCCCTGATGCCGCCCGCAGCGTGACCCAAGTCTCTTGCTGCCCCGAGGCCTTGTAGCACGCGAAGAATTCGTCCACTGTCATGGCCGCCCCTTCGTTCGCCTTCGGCCAGGCACTTGCACAAGACAGCAAGATCTTCCACGCGTTGGGCATTAGTTGGCCCGGCGCCACCTCCAAGCGATTTAGGACATCTACTACCACCTGCGGCAGGGGCAGCCTCAGTCCTCCTTTCAATGCCTCCTCATAAAGGGCAAACTGCCCTAGCCTGGCATCGGATGGCCTCTCCGTCGACATCG